ACAACCTACTCAATCACGGAACATTTACAAATATTGTTAACTGCTTTAATTTCAAGTAAAATTTTAGTGTATTTTGAGAATTTTAGTCAATGGTCAATGAAAATTGCTTTTGTAGCAGTGGCAATTTTTCTGGGTACTAGTATCATACAACACAGAGCATCAGAGACTTCGCACCACAAAATCATTAAATCACAAAATATTAAACAGTTTTAAATATTCTTTAATAATAAACTATGATGTTGGTTTGATGTATTATTACTTACTTTTGTCTCTTGATGATGCTCCACCACTGTCATAGTCACTGTTTTTCTGTTCTAAATTTTTTTCTTTCAGTTCCTGTTCAAACCTAGCCAAATCTGCATCCAGTCTTCGTATGTGTTTGTCAACCTACAACAAAGTATTAGAACTATAAAATCCACTTTCGTTTTCATTTTCAAGTTTACTGAAGGTGAAACAGTTGACAACGGTTTAATATGAAAACATGACATGACTGATAATTTGCACATCTCCAATACAGGTGCATGTAAAACAATAGTTGCATGTATAGTATAATGAATTATCAGAATATGACTTATTTTGATTATAGACAAGAGCTTGTGTGTGTACACCCAGAGTAGAGCAAATATGGTATGCTAATTAGACTTCCTATAAGTCTTTGTCATCAGATGGAAGTGAAAGTCTCAGTGACTCTTTCAATCCCTTGAGTACTACCGTCGTACCAGTATATTTTTTTCTGGTAAAATGTTGGTGAACAAAACTTTATTTTTCCATAAACTTGTTGTTAATTTTGGACCAAAGTGATATACACATCCCAATGAGTACAAGTCCTTAGAACAAATTTTAAGGGAAATAGCACAGGTTTATTTTGTGGAAAGTAATAAAAGTTGACTTTGTCTTGAAGAGCATAAACACTCTTGTAATGCTAGACTTGTAATAATAAATTATCACACTATCTGCTGACGCGGTTTTCCCCCATTTATTTTGAATATCCGTGAAGGTTCACAGCTGGCGATGTGTGAAGCAATTCTCTGAGACAGACCCGAACAGGAAGTCAGAAGAAGACAGATTTTTATGTTAGCGTAGAGTAAAACTTGCGAGTAAAGGGGATAATCTGAAAAAGCAAAGTACTGAATATGGTCACACTAGATTTTTAGCAATTCATGCACAGTGAACAAGCAGAAACAACTTATCTGAAGCTACTCACTCAGTGCTGTGGACAATGAGTTACCCAGAGATCCAGCTTTCTTTTTTACAATTTTATTTAATTGAAAATAAGAAATCAAAATTGTTTTGAATATTCAAATAGTATCATGTGGTGAAATGTCAAGTTTTTGTAAGGTTAATCTACTTTGAATGGCACTATAAACATCAATAGATAGCAAGATAGCAAACACACTAAAATTGTTGTGTATCTAAGGAAGCTCAACACAATTTGGTCAGTATCTGTGAAGAATACAAATCATGTGTGCATATATGTAGTTAGATATACACAGCCATTTCTCTGGTAAATAAATTTGAACTAATCTCTATAGCAAGGCTGACACTTGTATGATTCTGTGGCACGCATTGGCATGACTTGAGTCACACCAGTGCGCAAACTAGTCTTAAACTGGCGTGAAGTGTGCATAAACCTGTCGTGACTGCGGGCCATATCCTTTCTCCAACCTAAATACTCCCGGAACTATACAAACCAATTCTGATTGCAGGTAATGCAATAAAATTGCTCGACTATTAAGCACCCCTATTCAACCCCAATATTTGAATTTTGATCATGGCAGCATCACAAAAATGCCCTAATAGTATCAATGTAGTAAACACTTGCAGCAAATTTATCTAAAAAATTATCCATACTTTTAAAGGAATTTGCTAGTGATTTGATAGCTACTTCTCAACTAAGAAAAAGTGGGGGGAAAAAAACCTTGTAATAATAATATACATTCAGACAACAACAAATCCCTGGGGTTTGAACGTAACTATTATAATGACATCTCATGCAAATGCAGTACCATGAACCTTATAACAGTAGTTTGAAGTTATACAGATATACACAATACAGTGTACAGATCCTCGCACTGGGACGTCATTTTTTTACATTTCTGCCAACCAGCATGTGAATTACTGACAACAACTTTGGCTCACTGATTTGTTGTTTTATTAATAGACACAAACATTGTGTATTTAATAACAGTGAACAGTGCCATTATTTTATCTCTGAGTGAACACTGGTCCATGCCGAACCACTCACTGCAAGCGTGTAACAAGTGCAAGGGTTACATGTATGTCATTCATATACGTACCATTTCATAGGTCTGCATTGCAAGCTGTACTTTATCATCTCCGAATTCTCGACTTTTATTAAATAAATTCTGGATGTTCCTGAGGTGATCCGCCCGCTTCTCCCTTGGCATGTCCCGAACATTCTTTATATATTCATCTGCTAGATTATCTATTTGTTTTAATATATCTAAGTAAAAAGGAAATGAACATAGTTAAATCAGGAAAAAATTTAGATCATTATTTATCTTTATTCATCATGACATAAATCAGTATATGCATAAGAATTATGTATGGAAAATAAACAAAGTGTAAAGATCTAAAGGTCACACATCCCGGCATTTTTGGGGGTAATGTTGCAGAAAAACAATTTACAATCTGGGTAGAATAACTCAACTGAATTTGTTGCTACATTGAACTGTACTTTGTTTGAGAATAAGAAAGTAATATTTTTCTTAGAGTCTGGCAGATTACATTCAAATACAATCAAAATGCCAATTTCCTTTGATAGATAACATTTTCTGGTGATTTAGCAAGTACACAAATATGTTTAAGCAAACAAGACAAGTAACCTGATTGTGATCCATGATTGCTATGTTACTGAGCATGCTCACAACAGAAAGAAGGGTTAAGCAGAAAACACAAACTGATCATATTGCATCGTTCAATGACAATGAATTAACACATTTTCTGAATAAAGTGTATAAACAATATTGGTACATATTACACCAAGCTTGATGCGAGTAATTCTGAAAACCAACTCTACGTGCCAGAATTTTTTTTATGTCAATCCATAAGAACACCACAAGGTGGTGGATCAATTGATGACATCACAATTCAAATTTATTTACCTTGTGTTCTTTGGTCTAGATCTCTCATCAATGTGAAATTTCTCTGTAACTCATAAGGTAGATTTTCCAGACCTAGAAAAAAAAAATTCAGAATTTGAGCAGGGGATGGTTGCAAAAAGAATTATACTGGAAGCTTTTGTGGTTAACTGAAACATTAAAAGTAAATGGAGTTGTCAACTGAATGATATTGTTAAATATTGTTTGATAACGATGTTACTTCTAGATACGTTATAAATTAACCTCGGCACAAATGAAACAAATTGATTTGGGCATCAAGGAGTTACGTTACTCCTAACAAGATGGAAAGGTGAGGTTTATAATGATAACCGCACCAAAGCAAATGAAAAAAACAAACTGAGAACATATCAGCTAATCAAATCAGATTTAAACCTTGAGCCATATTCAGTCAAGCTAAAAAACTTTGAACTGCATAGTATGCTTACCAAATTTCGTCTTAGTGACCATAGTCTCAAAATTGAAATGGGTCGTCATACAAAGATTCCCTTAAACAACAGGGTTTGTGACATGTGTAACAAAGAAAGGTCTAATTGAGGATGAAATGCATTTTCTGATGGATGCAACAAATATAATGAGTTGCGTACCAAACTGTTCAATAAAGCTAAGGATTTGAAAATGAACCTGCAGAGAAAAACTTTATGGAATTGTTACAGAATAAAAACATTATTATACCAGTAGCACAGTTCATAAGTAAAAGCTTTGAAGTCAGGAAGCAGGGTCTTACTTGACATTTTAATGCCTGCTGTCAATTTAGTAATCTCATATTATTTAGTATTTTAGTGATTTTGTTTTATTTAGTAATTGTATTTTGTTATTTAGTATATTGTTTTTATATTTGTTTTCCTTGTACTTTGTGACCATTTTTTGTCCTTCCGGGGATTGTGTAAGAGACAGTAAGTAAATAAATATACTGAGTTTACTGCACACAGAAGAAAATTACTTAAGATAGAAGCCTAGTCATAATTATTGACAAAAATTGGTCATAAATCGCATGACAATGTTCATTAGTTTATTATGTACAATCATGAAGCTAATATCCCATGGTACAATGAAATAGCATTATTTTGTGTATTACAGTTATGCGTTTTGAGAAACGTGTCCTAATATTTCTTGAAAATTGCTATTTTTAGAACAATTCCGTAGAACACTGTGTTAAAGAAAAGTTGCATTTTTTGACACTTTTTAAAACCCAGATTTTTTTAAATAATTCAGAACAACAAAAAGTACTCTGTCATTAACAATATATGATTTTTTGAGCCTATGTCACCAGGCTAGATTTTGAGATATTGCATAATATCTCTGCCATAGGAACTTGTGGTAAAATGTTATAATAGTGTCAAAATGGCGACTTTCCACTAAAATGCAACCATCAATTTCTTGAAAAAAAGGCTTGTGACCCACATCTTTTTTTAGGTCAATATCCTTATATTGCCTTGGAGTACAATTTAGTGCAAAATGAATAAATTCAGGGTTTCTTAATTTATGAGTAGACTTCTACCTTAAATAAAGTAAATAACATTGGTCAAACTAACACTTTTTAGAGTCCACAGTAGTCAGGTAGTATCCAGGGCAGAGAAACCACAAATAGCAGTGGTTTTACAAACTTGATTCACCACAACCACTTTTGACAGGAAACGGTGTTTATTTACTGTTCCATTCTTTGCCACGAGTATGTAAAACCATCACCACAAAGAAACAAATATTTAACCTTTGACATAGAATGAATAGGATGCAGTTCAAAGGTCACGTCACGTCAATCCATAAACATACCGATAGACAGGCGATCGCGTTGTTTCGAAATTGTTGTACAACGTAATTTGGCAAGACGATTAATGTAAATAATAAAATAACCTATTAAGACTGTCTATAACGAGAGTTACACAAGTAATACTGAATCACATTTTACGGATCCAATTCCTATTTAAAATTGAGACGGACGCTATCATCAGTGCTCATTTTAAGTGTTTTACAGAATGCCGCATTTCCTCGGGAGAAAATATTTAGAAAATACCATTCATGAAAAATAAACTATAACACTGTCAACATTCACTAGCAACAGACCTTTTATATCAACCGCGTCATCTGGAAAGTATTAAAAATGTGTGACGCCGTGCGCGATGAGCCGGTAGATATGCTGTGTTTACGAGTCGACCACTGTCGAGTAAAGCGCAGTGGCTCCGAACCGAGAAAATACCTCGGTACCGGTCCACGCGATTATAACGAAAACAGTAACATGCAGAGCGATAAAAACGACAGAAAAATTGCACCAACATACTACCGAAGTCAACATTTCGAAATATCATACACATATTAGCAAGCGTGGAACAGAAAAAGCCGTTAACTTACTGTCAAGATACTGTTCTAAATACAGTGCCGTCGCCATATTGGTTCTTCCCGCCTAATACAAATACGTCATTGACTATTGTTGCATTGTGGGTAAATAGGTTGTTTTTGAATGCGGACCACCGAAATCGGAGTGATTCGAACTGAATTAAGAAACATACACTTAGCAATTACAACCAATATATTCAGAAATTATGAAATTGAGATTTTTTTTATTTTTTTTTTACATTTCGTTTCGTTTTGCTACAAATCTCTATTGTTTCACAAGCCCGCGGTGGAATTAAATATTTAAAAGATGTTCGTAAAAACCTACGAAATACTGATTGAACAAAAAATATATGTTTTATTTTTCGCGGAATTATTCTATAATCGAAAAAGTAGATATTTGACAATGAAATTATGGCAATATGACTGTGGTATTTCATCGCCGTTACAAATTATTCAATTCATGGTTTTTTTTTTATTTCAATTATAATACTTTATTTTAAAAACTATAATTAAAATTTTTCAAATTTTCGCCTCAAGCGTTCTCGTCTGTGTCTTTTCTAAGCTCTTTTTCTTTATTTATTGGAATCCAAAAATAAAATGCATCAAACCGAATTATTTGAACCAAAAACTGAACAATTCTGGATGAAAATGAGACATTTCTCATACATCTATCAAAATACACAAAAAAACTGTGAAATGTTATTTGTGTATCATTTGTACAGTCTAGCCCCGTGTCTTCATCTCGTGTTCTGCAAACAAAACGCGCACCGTTAAATCGTGCGAGCGGCAGCATGTTTTACACTAGTCTTTGTTCTTCGTGAGTATTAATCCATGTTGACATCATTTCGCGCCAGTGCACACAACAGAAGCACCGCCAACTACTTTAATACTACCTCAGATTTTTTTCACCCCAGCTAGTTAGTTTTCGTTTTTTTTAAATTGAAATTATTTTTATTTATTACGCAGAATTATATAAGAACTACACATATGAATAGGCGATCTACGTCACCTAGGAACAAATCTGTTAATTATACTAAAAGGATGGTCACGTGACTCCCCAGGGACCATGAGTACATATTACATGATTATAACTGTACCCAGCACTAGGCTGTAATTTAGATAACTTCAATGACCACCACGTAGACAAAGAACAAGTATATTCATTTGAAGAACAAAGAAAAAAAAAACATACATATGTCCCCTCCAGTATTATAGCACTGTGAAACGTTAAAGGGCGGCAGTCGTCGTGCTGCGTCCTGTTCGACATGGGACTCATAGCGACGCATGTAAAATACATTGTTTATTTACATGAAATTCGAACAGGCGCTGTGCGACGACCACCGCGCTTTAAACACCTGCAATTACCTTTGCATGAAATCGGTATCCAGGATTTGTAATCTAACCCGGTTTTCAGCACAAAAAAAAAAAAACGATCCGCAACCTGGAAGCTCATTTCTAAACAACTCCATTATTCCTAGGACAGCTGAAGAGAACAACAACGTATGTGAAGGATATATTACATATTTCATTTTTGCCCTTCATTTATCCAGTGTATCAAGTCTTTATACCAATATTTCGAGTTGTGTCACAAACATAGATACAATCACCGGTTATTTATCTATCGCCTGGGTTGTGAGAGACAAGCTGATACAATCTCTCCACTGCTATTTATAATCATGACATGGAAATCTTCCTTGTCTCAATGCACTGATTTTTTTTTATAGTGAAGTCATTTCGGCAGAATTTTATAATCTGTTAGGGGAAACTTCCAAAAATCCATTGACTGTACTTTATTTGCAGAAATAGTGTTGTTGGGTGACTCGTTGTTGTCTGATCTAATGAATTTCTTGCTTCTGACTGCGACACATTATATTTATTTTTGTAGATGAAATGAGAAACGACTATCTTTTGCTAAGTACAAGTCTTTTGTAATGAGTCACATACAACATAAGTTGAACTGTTCATTGCCACCAGAAAAGGAACACTGGGGGGAAATACCATCGTCCGATTCCCCGTAGTAGATGTACAAATGAAATTATGACACCTCAACGAATTCAAAGATAAACAATTGCTTACATGTTAGGTAATTTTTTGCGTGCAAAATGAACTGTGAATAATTCCTAATATTCTAAAGCCAAGATCACATTTTGACTCTGTAATGTCAACCGGGGAGGGGGGGTAAGGTGCAATATTATACATTTTACCGTCACCGGATATTATATTTTAGCAATATTAACACGGATAAAAATCGGTCATAAATCAAATGGTTCATATAAGATGTAATATTCACAATATTATTAGAGTCATCTTTTAAGTGAGCATTGACGAATAGATCCAATAGAAACCATTGGATTTATTCTCGATTTTTATTGGATACTATCGGAGAATAACTACCATAGGTGACCTGTAAGATACCAATGATATTGACAAATGGACACGATTTATCAGACAAATACTAGTAATTCCCAATAAATCTAATAAACATCTAAATTTGAGTGTGCCGTCAAACTCCGGTTTTAGAAAAGCTACATGTAATGCTTCCTTAGATCTGATGGACACTCCCATTAATGTTTACCATTAAAATGTTTTTGTATGTCTTGCTATTCAAGCCTTAAACAATGACTAACACAAATTTACGTTGGTTACACAGGTACTAGAGCTATAAACATTTCAGAAAATAATCAAATAGACGCAAGGATTTGAAATTTGTAATCAACAAAACCATATAAATACATTTTTAAACGCATCAAAACGTCTGTCGCCCCCGGCTGTCGCCTTGTGTTGTGAATAGCGCCCTCGGTGTTGAATTTGTAACGATCGCAAGAGGGCGCAACTTCAAACAACTTACCTTGACGGCAGGCAACCACATCGCCTCGAGGTATATCCCTATCTTATATGTAGATGGAAAATAAAAGCAATGGTTACTGAAAACGCTTGAACGTTTAGTTGCAGCTTTAACTTATACATTCGAGTAAGACCAGAGCCATCCAAAAAAACATTTTTTTGACAAAATGCACAAGAAATTCCAAGCATTACTGTATCTAAATTACATCATAAAATGACAAAATACAGGTGCTTGACTCTATAAACTGAGATAACATATTTCGGTGCAAAAGCACTACAACCATTACATTTTAGTAGAATGTCATCTGTGACAACCCCTCTCACTCCTACTTTAGTCTTAACTCAATAATATGGGTAGGAAATGTTTGTGATATGGAATTTTCACATAAAAGTTTTACATAAACAGGTTTATTATGGCCTCTTATGTGTACCCAACTACCCCCTTCCCCCTTTATTACAATGATACATTATTGGCAGTAGCATAATTTGAGGATTACGCTGTATCTTGTTTTGTTTTTTTTTAATTCACTAATTTTCTCTTTGGTTATGTTTAGTGTGCAGAGGTAATAAAGAAGTACCTACTCTGCTGAGAAGTGGAAATATTTCAGCAGGCTTGAAAAAGAGTATTGTATTATTGTAAACAAAACAGTAAACTATTTTGAAATGTTGTCCTTCAAGGTAGAGTAAATGCATGTGACCATGCTAATTTACAAGTACTCATTATTTCATTTGAAGTCCACAAATTTAAAACCAAGTAAGTATCAAAATAGTGACATCAAAGGACAAATTTTGTGTAAACAAACAAAGTACTAGTACTGTCAAATACAAGCCCCCTCCGGGACTTTGTCCGGGCGGGGGCTTGTAGTTTCGCCTTCGTCAGTCCATCAGTCCGTCCGGAGTGGTTTCTAGGTGCTGGACCATTTTCATTTTTTTAAACAAAGACATAGTGGTCAACCATACATGTGCACGTCAATTTAATTTCCGATTCGATAAAATATGGCCGACTGGCGGCCATTTTTAATGCCAAAATTCAGTCAAATTCGGTCTCTGTGTGTCCATCGTCATTTCTCGGAGATGGCTTGTCCGATTTTGTTGAGACTTGTTACAAAGACAAAGCGACCACTCATACAGATGTACGTTGTTTTACTTTTTTGAAATGGTCAAATATGGAAGCCATTTTGATGGTTAATCATGGCATTTGTCTGTCCATTGATATTTATCAGAGATGCCTTGACTGATTT